TGGTTGCCGCCGCGTAATAGCTAAATGAATAACTTGACTGCTAAACTAAAAAGAACTTTCAGCAGATAAGGGAAAAACATGTGACACGTGTCGATTGTCTTAATGACTTTAACTACGCTGGTGATGAAACCAAATTTCAAAAAAAAACTTAAAAAATCTTGTCGAACATTTTATGTCAACAAAATTGATTTTTTTTAGCCCTCTGAAATTGCTTGAAAAACCCTATTTTGAGTGAATTTACTGTGCCGATCAAGAATAAAGCAGTTAAAGGACAAAAATAACAGATTTTTTGGTATCGTTAGATTAAGTTTAAAAAATTTTAAAACGTATTCTACTTCAGGAAACATCTATGATACACAGAGACGAAGCGGAGCTTCGCACCACTTGCAATACTACATGAAAAACATTGTCAGCTACCAGATAGGAAAGAAAAAGAACCACTAAGTCCAAAAAAAATAATCAAATTCACAAAAAAGTCAAAACGGTGTCTGCAAGAAAGTTATATTCGAAATTATTTTGGAAAACATATACGAAGTCAAGGTTAGTTAATTAGAAATTGCAGGATTAAATCAAAGGACTAAAAGACTTGAATGGAAACCGCGTCCAGTACAAAAAGTCTAAATGGCAACTATGATGACGAAACATAAACAGACAAATAATAAGCCGATACTTATTGAAACTAAATGTTTCCCATTTAAAAACAGGTCCTGGTCAAATTTGAACCCAGAAACTTCGCTTTTACAGGCGTTTTCGTTACCTCCAGACAAAGTGCCGAAGATGCTAAGAAATTTACATTAATCATGAACAACATACCAAGTAATTCAGTTAAACAAGTTGTCAACCAGAAAAAGTCGATATTCCCATATGATAACGCTTGCTAATCGCAAGCGTAACAATGATTTGATTTTTATTAAGCCAACCTAATACTGGAGAAACTAAACAATTTGTATTCATTTCATTCGAAGAGGCCAAGCTGAGCATCTTCATAACAAGCAAAAAATGACAAAAGAGCTTCAAACATTCAAGAAAATATATTTAACAAAACAGGCTTTGAAAATTAAAAAAAAACAATCTACAAAAGGATTCAATCCATTGAACCTCGAATTATAAAAGATTTTTTTGGCTGAGCCAACCAACCCAGCTGACTAAGAGTTTACACATGCTACTAAATCGATCTAGCAATTTTCATTATCTTCGTGAACAATTTTAATTTAAGTTTCAATTTTTCATTCCCCCCCCCCCCAAATTGACATCACTGGGCATAATAATACAAGCGTTTTCCAATTACTCTCCGCCACTTCAAAATTAAGGTTATAGGAGGAAAAATATTTTATGACAGGCAATTTTGACATAGTTTTTGCCGAGAAAATGTTAAATGCTGAGTTTATTCCGAACTGCAAATGAAAACAATCTCCATATGTTCAAATGTTTAATTCTCTTAAGCAAAAGTGTTTACAATTTTTTAATGCTGTAATCGACACAAGCGTAGCAGATGATGGTAAAGACTATTTTTCAAGTCTGGCTAAAAACACGTCAAATCGAACAAGTATTCGGTTGTTTTAATACTTTGTAGTTATTGCAAAAAAATCTCTAAATTTTCAGTGTTTTTTTGAGAGAGGCCGAATTTTAGCTTCAAGAATGGGCGATTATTGAGCTACGTTGCTCAGAAAACAAAATTTTTACTGCGAGACCAGTTCTTTTTAATCCACTTCCTGTCAAAGAAATTATAAATTCAATCTAAAAACTCAATAAAAAGAACTTATCCGATTCCGACTGCGAAGTATTTGCTTTTTCTACGATACCATCTGTGTTTTCTTAGAAGTACTTCAAGTCACATAAAAATCCCACCTTACGCCATATTTCCTTCTCATTTTTTTGATAATGGTATGAACAAAAAACATTTACAGTTCGTTGAAAAAGAATCTGACAAAAAAATGAAATGAGCTTTTTGCATATCAAATGAATCACAGAAGCCCAAAATATTGACTGAATTAAATTTTAAAACTCAAAAATGGTAGAAATTTATTAAAATAAGACAGTTGTTAATTAAAGTTAAGTATATCCCTGGGAACTGATTGATGGGAAACTTAAAAACTGGCGCCTCAATAAATGCTGCAAAGAAGGCTCTGTAGCTAATTTGCACAAAAAAAACTCTCATTTCTCTTTTGATTGTTTTATAGATACTTCGTGATGCAAATATCTAAGAAAAGTAACAATTTATTTTGAGTAACGAAATGATATCGATGAGTAAAAAAAACTCTTCAAGCTGAACATGACTTTTAAATGTCACTTAACTCAGTCCGAGCTACTGAAACTGGCGGAAATTAATAAGTCTACAAACCATCTGTAGCTCATTATTAACTTTGTACAATACATCCGGGTTTTCACATAAAATGAAAGCTTTTAAGAAAGTAAATGTCTTCAAAATAGTTAAACAGCTATTCAGCTAATTTAAACCTCGTGAAAAACCGAAAAAGAAACATTTTTTCACCGGTTGAAATAAATTCCAGCCACAGGCGTACCGCTGTCTGATGAAAAAGAAAGATGCGTTGCACAAGTAGTCAGTAAAAGCTACTTTAAAATCACCTATCTTTGGCAATCTCCCAAAATTTCGGAGTTTAGAATCAATCAATCTAACAAAGGCAAAGCCAAGCTTCACACCAGTTTCGTCCACTTCACAAACATAACATGGCGAGCTAGTCGACAAAAAATTACCCGGTAATCAATAAAAATTGAAAAAAAAAATGAAAAAACTACAACAAAATTTTCATACCACGATTTGTCTCGAATGAAAATCGTTTTAGACACAGTGGCGAAGCAGAGCTTCGCATCACTTGCGATACAACACAAACATAAACACAAAAGCAAAGAAGAGCTTCGCACAAATTGCGATACAAAAATGAATGACTATCACTAATTGCAGATGAAGCAACAAATCGAAAAATTAAAAATTCATATAATTATTTTTTTTCTCAAAAAAAAACTTTAAGTTGAAAAAAATCCGAACTCTTGGAAGTGAATTACCTGCACCTCTACAACTTTAAAAACACAGATAAAGCAAAGGTTCGCCGTACTTGCAATACAGCACATTCTAAGCATGACGAACTAACCGACAGAAATGGAGATAAAAGCCGCAGAAAAACTCAGTTTTTTTATTGAAATATCGAATAATTTGATCTACCAAAAATATTCCTTCATTTTTCTTTATTTTGCCTTGAATATCAATCCCTTTGGAGAAGATATGTCAAGAAGTAAAGCAATGGAATGTAAAAGGAGCATCGAAATAAAACTTACAAAGACGAAAATTCTTGAGCAGACACGCTGCCCCGAAAAAAAAGTTTTTATTAGAAAAACTCTATATTAAAAAAAACTTTCAGGTCCTCCATCTTGATGTTTAGATTAAAAACATTTTTGCTCTTCAAATGGCTCAAAAAGAGGCCTCTAAGTCGATACAGACATTATAAACCAAAACCTACTAAGCCGAAAAAAGAAATTTCAACAAACCGAGTGGTTTAAAATAACCCAATCTAAAAAGTGTCGAGGGGAGCGTAAAGGTTGTGTTTTCCGTGAATCAACCCAAAATAAAGTAATTAACCCAGCCGATAAAAATAGGCTGAAAGAATTTGGGTCGAATTAAATGTTAAACGAAACAAAAAAAAGAAATACGAAGTCAAGGAAGTAAAATTTTTCCGTGTAGGATAAAATCAAATACTATAAGACACATTTAAAAAAGCGCAGCAAAATTTGGAATTAACTTCCTGCTTAATTTTTGTTGAACTAAATAAGAGGCTGTTTAGGTATCACTTGTTCTACAATTGACAAAGTAGTTTTTGCCTAATCATTACAGTAAAATTTTGGGTTCGAATTTAGCCACAAATTGCGCCACATAAACTATGCTGAATTTATACGCAAATTTTGTCTGAATAATTGTTGAGCGTAAATAGCAAAATTTAAAACAGCGAACAGACAGTAACGAAAGAGTCAATAAGCGCAAGTAAAAAGAAAAAAAAACTGACTTTATTTGGAAAAAACTCAATTTTCCAATTTCCAAGAAAAAAATATACGACCTTAATGCTCTTCTAATTTCTAGAACAGTTTATGATTGACACATTTTAGACCCGATTTCAGAAAACTCAATCAAAGGGTAAATTTTTTGTTTCGGAGAAATCTGATAATTAATTTCAATTTTCGAAATTAGAGGTCGATCACGTTTTTCGTGACATTTCCACTTATTTTTGCTATTCGATAGTGAAGTTTGCCTTCCAGTTAACAAAAGAAATGAACTTAAAAAGAAACAAGAAGTCAAACCGCGCAAAAGTAAATTTGAGCCTGAACAAAACTCAACACTTCCTGAAAAAAAAACAGAAAAAATCATCGCGACCTATATGAGAGTCTGACTGCGTTTAGCGACTCTTAAAAAGTGAGCTCAAACAAAGCAACGCATAGCCAACAGCCAGTTGGAAAAGTGTCACTGAAAATGACAAAAAAAGTGCCAGTGCCCTAGGGGACACTTATACTGTTCGATAGTCGATGTTGCGTAAACGCATTTTAAGACATTTTCATGGAAAAAAATTATCTCGACTTATAAGGTTCTTCACGTTCATTGAAACCAAAAAAAAACTAACGGGAAAACATGGTCTACATAAGTGCCTAATATTGGTTTATCGATAAATAAAAAAAAAATAAAAAAATTTCAGAGATAGGATATGACGATGTTTTAACGATGTGCTAATTCAAGTTCACAAAGGAACATTTCGCGAAAATCTCAGCGCACTTTGAGAGCAAGTGAATTTTAACGATACGATGTGTGATGACTCTGGACGATACGATTGCAGCACTTTTGAGTACAAGGAAGCTAGCTCAAAACCACTGCGATGATAATGAACTGAGGCCATGCACAGCAACCTTGCTCTTCGCTTATGAAAAAACTATCAGGTAGAATTTGCCGCAGATTTGGATAAGTCATGATTTTCTACTTCGGTTCTGAGAGGAAAACTGACGCAGTTGTGTAAGTTTTATTTTGAGTATGAAGGTGATTTACTATTGGGAAGTAATTCATTTCAATCGACCATTTCTCAGTTGCACCATTTATATCAGTATTTGAGAATAAATTCAATTTAGTAGTTCAGTTAATTCAACCGCTAGAATGCACAATAAATATAAATAGCATAGCACTTCTTCATTTGCATGTTTTGTAAGGTACTGAAGAATTAGTTCCAACTGTTTTCTCAGCGTGCTGTTTATACAAAAAAATTAGGTAAGACGCGATTGTTGACAAATATAATCAAAATTAGCAGATTACACAAACAGAACATTATTACCTCAATTTTCAATACAAATTCATCTTGAATCTCTTCGGATATACCCCCTCCCTATATATGTCAAATTTGAATTTCGAGTACAATAAATAAATCTGATTGAATATAATTAATCTCAATGGAAAATTAACGTGATGCTTTAGTATACGTTAAATTGAGTATCAAATTTAGGGGATATGTCCGAAAAAAATCCTTCACTTGTATATGTCTATGGTAAAATTACAAAATTTGATGCTTTGACGCAAACTCTTGAAATTTATCGGCCAACACTACAAATTAAAAATGATTTTAACAAACTTTCATGCCTACAATCGTTTACTGAAGGTTTTGCGAGCAAACAAGCATGAATTTTTTTATGAAAAAACCTTGTTTTTGCTCAATTCTTTTTTTTCAAAAGGCATAAGAATTACGCGCCACAAAAGCATGCAATAAAAAGACGAAATATAATCACTTCAGATTAAGGAGCTGAAACTTGAGTCAATTTCAATCGCAAAAACTGTCGACACGCGAAAATATACAAAAACCAAATATTTGAATTTGCAACCACTTTAATACAGCTTTACATCTCAGCAGATAACCATTGTTTGTGACTTGTTATTAAGAAACAACAGCGGCAAAATTAAGAGCATTAAATTTTGACACCAATTGTTCAAAAAGTGACCTAAGAGATTAAAAAAACTACTGCTATTAAGGTGCATATGCTTTTTAATAATGTTAAAGAGTACACGCAATTTGGCCATGGGCTAACCAAAACTTAAATGTCAGTAATAATGACATAGCACACAATAGCACTGTTTCAACGCCCAATGCATACACATAGACACCTGCGAGGCCATCCGTCGGCTTTTCAGACAAGTGAGGTTAGCTAGCATAGATACATCAATAGAGCAGAGCTCAAGTTCAAAAGTTCAAACAAGAAGTCAGTCCTCAGAATCCCAAACCCATATTTTGTGCGTACTACTCATTACTCAAAATTATTTCTACACGTGAGAGCAAAAATGAGCTCTTTTCCCGTTCAAAACTCCGCAACCGCTATTTTTTGCAATAAGCAATTTAACAAATGATTCCGAGAGTTTCCTGAGAAGCAAATCATACGCATATAAAAGCTTCGATCTGGTTATACAGTGACTGAACATTACATTTTGGAGTTACTTCATGGTTAAAAAGTATCGATTGAAAAAATCATCGGTGGTTCAAGGTGTCAAGGAAAAAGAGCCCGCAGGGAAGGGGGGATGGTGACAGGTTTACTTGGCGGGTGAGATTTCCACAGTCGGATTGGGAGCCCCGTTGGCTGTGGACGCCCCACTTTTCCCAGCCGCCGTAACAGTAGTGTCGGCTTCACCGCTCTCTTCGTTCGCCTGTTTTCGATGTAGTACTGGCGAGCTGCTCTGCGACTTGAGTCGACACGAGGTGGCCGCCACTAGAGCTGCTCCTCGGCCGCTGGCGTCTCTGGCAGTGATGAATTTGCACTCAGCTGCCGGGGACAGAATACTCAAGTACTCCTAAACCATAGAGTTTAAAACATCGCCAACATTTGATGAAAATCTGATAATAAACTCAAAAAACCAAGAAAAATGAATGATTTTTTTTTAAATTAAAACTGAACAAAACCCTTTTATAATTTGACTACCCATTAGGCAGTTGGAATAGTGTCAATTAACCGGAAAAAATAACTGACATGTTATTCGAAAATAATCAGCTTTCGAATTACAGAGGGCCTGAAGAATATGGCCTTAAAGCTCTCTCAATTTCAAATACAATTCACGAGTAACACTTTTTAGAACAGCCAACTGACAGTTTCGCGCATATCAAAGATATTGCACTTTATTCGAGCTTAATTTTATATAACTTTCTAATAAAGTGCAATATCTTTGATATGCAAGATGGTGACAGAATAACAGACGACGAGCTACAAACGGAGATTTGCAAATGAAAAAACTATTTGACGCCAGTATTATCGGAGGCGCGAATTTTCTTTATGGTAATGTGGATTACTCTGGAGAGATGCCAGTACGAGAGATAACTTGCAGATGCGAGAAAAAATCCACGCTGAAGACTCTGGTTTTCTACCGAACTTGACTTGTGTTAATCAGATGATATTTCCAGATGCCTCACTGTGCTTGCAAGGAATAATCAAATCTGCTTTAATATTGAACGTCACATCAAAAAACTAATGGGATATAATTCAGAAGAGTGGTTGTGTACCATACTGAACTTTGACATTCAACTTGATCAGTGGCGTGAATTAAGCAAAGTTCATTTATGTTGATTATACTTTTGCAAGAAACATTCACTTAGCTACAATCTATCACCGACACCAGGTGGATAAAATCTTGAATGAAACACTTTGCAATCATAGTTTTGAATAACATCATGCGACGTCGTCTTAACTAACAATACGCATTCGAAAAAAATATATATAATTGAGATCGAATAAGTTAGGCTCGATTCAGCTTTCATATGCGAGACAGTGGGAAAACAGAAAGGAACGCAAGAAACAGAAAAAAATGACTTGAATTCCAATTTTCGAACATTTACATTTACATTTTTGCTGTTCGATAAAGGAGTTTGCTTTTTAACAAATCAAGTCAAACCACTAAAAATCCAAATTGAATGTGATGAACAAATTTTAAGACGTTTTCCTGAAAACAAAACACCAGAAAACCACCAAGACCTATATAATAGTACTCACTACGTTCATTAATAAATTAAAATTATTTGAAAAATCTGGACAAAATGTGAAAATTTATTCAGCTGAGAAACCTGAAAATCAAAAACACAACGCCAACAGACAATTGGAAAAGCAAGTAAACAGAAACAAAAACTGACTTCAATGAAAAAAAATCTCAGCTTTCAATTTTCAAATTAAAATATAGATGCCCTTTAGCTCTTTAAATTTCTAGAACAAAGTATGATTGGCGCTTTTTTGATTAACATTAACCAAATATGAAAAAATATGATTAAAAAATTTTTATTTCGCAGGGAAATCTTAAAATCTGCTTTAATATTGCCTAATTAACCAAATATGAAAAAATATGATTAAAAAAATTTTATTTCGCAGGGAAATCTTAAAATCTGCTTTAATATTGCCTAAGTAAAAACTCAAAAAGTGCATATATAACTAAGAGCACTCATAAATGTATTAATATGAATGAATTCACATTTGTAGTTATTAGAGCATTTTAAGACTTTTTCCTGAAAAACAAAACAAAAAAGTCACCAAGTCATATATAAGAGTCTTCGCTACGTTTATACTACTGATCCACTTCAAAACTAAAAGCCGATCACGTTTTCCATGATCTTAACACTATTGCTGTTCAATAGTAGAGTTTGCTTTCCTTTTAACAAACGAAATGAACTGAGCTTAAAAAAAGCAAAGTCAAACCTTAAAAAATCAAAATTAACTTTTTTTTCTGAAAAACAAACAAAACACTCACCAAGACCTATAACAGAGTATTTTTCTACAACCATTAACAAACACTGTCAATGGATCTCAGAATTTAAAAAAAATTGCGAAATCTGGGCCAGTCTCGCAAACTTTTCAGGTTTTGGTCCCCTAACATTTCTGAGGTTTTGGATCCCGTACATTTTTCAAGTTCTTCCCGAAAAAAGAGAAGAACCCCCTCTGATGAAAATTAAAAGATGAAGCAGAAGCACAAATTTGCAACCACAATCTACAACACAGAGGCGAAGTTGCACTTCGCATACACAAGCAAAAATATGACCGATAACGTTACTAGGAAAAACTGAATGTGTAAAAACTCTGAGTCTACAAAATTTCTTACAAGCCTACGCACGCCAATTATGAGCCAACAAAATAGCTAAGCGACGCCAGCCAATTATGACGCATTATCAGTACCAGTCAATTTGAAAAAAAAAAAGAAATTTACTAACTAACAAGCCTCAATTTATAGAGCGGACGCATTTTAACTCGTATAATCCATTATAGCTGATTGATTATAATCAATAAAAAATCGAATTAATACTTTGAATTAATCTTTCTCAAGTTTTAACTACAGTGGACATTGTAGAATTGTTATTACCGTGATGTACTCCCGGAACTTCTGGAAGTTAAGATAGAGACTGCCGTCACAGATGATGGTCAGTTTGTCCTTCCCTATCTTCTTGATGATGGCCGCCAACCCAATAGCCGCCATCTTGCCCGCCCTCTTCGTCACCGCCTTGCACAGCTGCTGCACCGCAACACAGTCTTGCCTAAACATAAACAATCAGTTAGATGCAAGATAAAGGAACTGTAAGATTTTGACATTTTTTTTCTTTATATCTATTATATTTTTTTTCTTTATGAATGTTGCTTAGATTAAACAATCAGGTCCATATAAGACAGTACTTAATAGAAAGTTCTCAGCGGCGCTTCAACAGGTTGAATTACCTTCTGCGCTTGCTCAAGTTGGTGCTCTATCCATGATAAGTTCTCCATTGTTAGATTATTGCACTACTTGAAACAAATTTATTTATTTATATAAACATTAGCAACAAATAAACATAGCCAACAGTAGACAGTTGGAAAAGTGAAAAAAAAACAGGAACACCGAAAAAAAGTTGGTTATAAACTGCTGAACATTTTCAACTAAATTTCAAAGAACAGTGCTATTTAAAATATCCGCACAAAAAGAATAAAACTTTAAGAGCAGAACTTAACCGCGTTCTCAAATTGAGCTGACTTTAGACAAAAAAAATGATGAATTCAAAACTTGCTTAGAACTTTAGCAGAATTAATATGGTGCATTTTTTCAAAATTCGGGCTCAAGTTTGCCCTATTATTATTTACCCTATTCTTGAACTATTTCAAGAGAGCTTCCCATATAGACCAACAAAGTTTAGGAAGGTATAATCTCTAAAACTTGGCGCAAAATGTCTAAAAATTGGTACTTTACATAGGAAAATTGACATTTTTTGGCGATCAATCAAAAATAAGTTTAACTACACAATTGATACGCTTATACACTCCTTAAATTTTGTTGGGCTATATAAGAGCCTCATTTTGATATGTTTTGTCAGCAATTGAGCCAATAGTTTCGGCGTACTTTTTGATTGACTAAAACAAAACCCAAAAAAAGTTTTTAGGTTGAAATTTGGGCCCATAATTAGCAAAAATTTGCACCCTTTTAATTTTGCTGAAATTCTAAGCCAGTTTTGTCCTCATCTTTTCTGTCTAAAGTCAACCCAATTTGAGAAATACCCGTTTTAAATTTCAAGTTTTGATCGTTTTGTCCGATAATTTGAACACAGAGGCGAAGCTGTGCCTCGCTAACTCTAGCGAGAACACGGCAAAAAGCAGCTCTAGAGTTCTTAAAAGCGCAACGAGAAAAAAAATAAAAATAAGTTTCGAATAAGTTAAAATTCGGCGACGTCTCGGACTTGAATCTAAAACTTCCTGCGACATAGAAATTATGAGTCTCACGCACTAAACACTCCACGGATGCTTAATCCATCAAAAACACTGGCCACAAATCAAGCCGAGAACAGATGCTGTTGAAATTTCCAATGCTACAGATCGTGATTATAACAAAAAGGCACAGTGAACACTTTTAATGAATTCTTTTATTTGCGAGTTAGGTTAGAAAAAAGTGTTTTAGTACGAGCTTTCCTTTTTTCCAAGCTAACTCGCAAAACACTAGCTGCTTGCTAGCGTAATCAGCACTGTGAACAAAATGCCACGTTGAAACTCTTTGAATTTTTACACAAAGGCGAAGCTGCGCTTTGTAAACAGCAGCGAGAACACGACAAAGAGCAGCTCTATAAAGGGCAATAAAAAAGTAGAAATAAAATTCGAATTGATAAAAATTCGGCTACGTGTCGGATTCGATCCTGCGTTCTAGATATTATGCGTCTCACATACTAACCACTCAGCCACGGACGCTAAATAAATCACAAACACTGGCCACAAATAAAGCAGAAAACAGATGCTATGATATTTCGAATGCTACCGATCGTGATTATAGCAAAAGTGAAATAGACGAACTTTTATTTGTTAAGTTTTCGGAAAAAAGTTTCGTACTAACACAATAACGCTCGCAAGGTGGCTAGTGTAAAAGATAGCCAATCGAAGATTGACAGAGAGTAATGAACGCAAAACATAAAAAACACACAGACTTTGTTGAAACAATGTTAGATGCAATCAAACAATCAAAGAAAAAAATAGATGCCCGTTAGGCTCTTTGAATTTCTGGAACAAAGTTTTTACTCCGCTGGATATCTAACAATTAAATTCCAATTCTAAAACTAGAAAATGTTCGTTTTTTTGCGCCATTTTCACGTTCGTAACTGGAGAGTGCTAATTAGGTCACTTTCAGGAGATGAATTTCAGTTAAACTCAAAAATAGCATATTTACCAAAGCTCATTCATAAATGCATTAATTGTATTAATGCACATCTGTAGTTATTGCAGCATTTTAATAATTTTTGCTGAAAACAAAAAATCACCAAGAGCTATATAAGAGTTTTCACTACGTTCACTACTCTTAAACAATATTGAGCGTGAAGAAACATTAAATCTTTTCCCGAAATTAATTGACAATGGTTAGTATTGATTAATTGGGTCTCTTTAACTATACTCTATAAAGAAATAAATCAACGGTTAATTATATGAGAACTTTAAACCTAGTAAAGAATCTCCCCCTTTTGCAAAAGGGGAGGATAAAGTTAAAGAGACTCGATTAATTAGTACCGATTCTTTAATATCTAATAAGCCCGGATGTGGGGCGTATGTGATGTACCTTGAAACATGGGGAATGTCTAGATCGTAGTGGAGGTGGTAATGGATTCGCTCCAGATTAGGCGTGTTGTCGTGGACCATAGCCGAGACATACTTTGTTTCCAAGATGTACTTAGTCTTAAACTTCTCTCCAACTTCCCCTTGGAAGAACACTCCCTGCTTAGCGAAGTCAATACACGCAATCCTGCAGATCTCACCGATGTACATGCCCGAGATCATTTTCTCGTAGATCTGTTTGCCTGGGTTCATAGAGTCCACGTCTACTCGTAAGTCGTACAGTGTTCGGAAGTCGTTCAGCAGTCCACTGTTGCCGAATGCTCCGAACTCAGTATTGATTACCATCTAAACACGGGCAAATAGAACAACACTGCAAACAATTTGCAAGCCGCTCTTTATCGTCGCAATTTTTACAGAACTAACCACTTGATTTCAGATCAATTATATAATCCGTCAACCAATTCAAACGAAGAGTGCTTAAATTCGTTTTCAAAACTCACTAAATTTTGAAAAACATTTTAAGTTTTTCTGAAAAAACGAACTTGAATGATATTTATAATTTCTAGTTTGTGCAAAATTCAAAACCTGAAGTTTTATTTCAAATTGAAGGATCTCTTCAACTATAACCCCTTCACGTGTTTCCAAGTACAAAAACTCAACGTTTAAGAAAATTCCCACCACTTTGCAAAGTGAGTGTGGGCGGGCGGGTGTTGCGATCCGTTACTGAGGTTCATAATACGTTCTTATTCTTATGTTTAGTTGGATATTTAAGTCATTGGTTTTATAATTGCAAATTTAATTATCTGTAGTGTATGTAATTCAGCACTTAAACATAACACGAGCTGCATGTTAAACATCAATTCTTCATTTTTGAATTCAACTTTCACTTGGAAACAGAGACAGATATTTATATTTGAAAGACGTTTCAAGTGACGGTTTAACTCGAGTGCCGAATACCAACTTTAGTCAAACTTACACACAAAGAACTAGAAACTGAAAAGTTCTGTTTTATCACTTGCCACCAATCACCGAGGAGGCGTGTAGGGGAACGTTTTCAATGGTGAACATAAACAAACGTCACAAAACACAATTCTTCCACCACAAGTTATTCATGTATTAAATGTATAGAAAACAGGCTTTAGAGAGTGTTATGGCGAAAAGTTAGGATTAAGAAACCAAAACGGATAAATCTCGATTAATTTCAAAAACAGCTGAAACTAATCTTTGGAGCGAGATTAAACAAAAACTTGCTTCTTATATCATGGCGACACCATGAAAATTCCGATCGCCGTTTCACCTGACAAAAGTGATTTTTTTTTTAAAGTTTTTAGAAATTTAGCACCCAAAATTCCTGATATGGGGTTGCAACCTCCACCACTTATGACATAATGAGGAATTTGGCGACACTGTGTAGCCATATTAGCGTCTATCATGATCCGGAATTTTTGATTCAGAAATTATTTCTCTTTACTTAACATTAGTGAAATTATTAAAATTTTCTCAAAGACTGACAACTTTACTGATTTTATAAACAAACGTATCATGGAAAGACTGCTAGTTCACAAATTGCTTGCGGTTTTTCCATACTCTGCTAGTATCTTTTTACCTTACCCCACGTTCTACGGCCTTCGAAAATTTCGAAATATTTTTGAGCCTTTACACAAAAACTGGCCTAGTCAGTGGAAAACTTCTTTTGTTACCCCTTTATACAAATCTGATGCTCGCAATGACATTACTAACTACAGACCAATTAGTATTTTACCACGAATTTCCCTTATCCTGGAAAGAATTCTTTTCAACTTTACTTATCCAAAAGTTAGACATCTAATCAAACGTCAGCAACATGGTTTCATGAAGTCGCGCAGTACTATCAGCCAATTGATCATCTATCTCGACTCAATTTATTCTTCCTGCGATAAAAATTCTCCTGGACTAGCCATTTACTTTGATGTGAGAAAAGCTTTTGATTCAGTACCGCATCATTTGTTACTTGCTAAACTTGTTATACTCGGCTTTGATTTTGAATTTCTCCAGTTGTTTGAATCTTATCTGACAAACCGGTATCAGTGTGTGCTAATAAATCAATCAATTTCGTCTCCTCTGCCAGTTACCTCGGGCGTTCCTCAGGGGAGTGTTCTCGGCCCACTTCTGTTTATTTTATTTATAAATGATATGACCGATGATGTGTTAAATAGTGAATTTTATCTATTTGCAGACGACCTGAAGATTAATAGCTCATCTGCTCCATCATTAGTTCAAAAAGATATCGATTCTCTTTTTAATTGGTCAACTAACAATCACTTACAGTTTCATTCTGCCAAATGTAAAGTTCTGAACTTTGGTGGTTATGATGATTCTATCCAATTCTTGCTCGGATCAGACATCTTACCATTTGTTGATGAAATTAAAGATCTTGGTATCATAGTCTCCAACAATCTTTCCTGGAAATCCCATCTGAATACTAAGTTGATAAAATGTTCCAGATTGTTTTATTTTCTGAAACGAAATATTCCTTTCTCGGTATCCTGCAGTCGAAAAAAGTTACTTTACAATACTCTCATTCTGTCAATCTTACTTTACGGTGCTCCTGCATGGTGCCCTTCTTTGACACTATTACATCAGCTTGAACTGTTCCAGTACAAAGTTCTAAGATGGATCAAGAAATGTTCATCGTATGTTTCAGGGCTACTAAATCTGAATATGCTTCCAATTAGCTATGTATTGATTAGAGTTGAAATTCTTCTACTTTGGAAGCTCCATAACAATGTTATTGATGTTGACTGCAAAAGTGCAACCAGCTCGCTTCCTACGCGTTCCGCTACGAGTGGCCTATTCGTCATACCGAACACGAGGAAATTGAAAACTGACGATAACTTCTTTGTACGAGCTCCCCGTGCTGCCAATGAACTTCTGCGTCTGAAAATTATATCTTTCGACATGCCCCTGGGAATGTTCAAATCAAAACTGAATAAATTTTTACTGCTTAAAACTTCAACTTTGTTTGATATAAACAGATCATGCACATTCTTTGTCAAATGTTTTTGTAAAAATTGTCGATCGTAAGTTCATTCAATATTTATATTAACCCTGTATCCACCAATGGAATTAAAGTCTTTTACTACTACTACTACTACTTTACCTGGATTGTTATTTTTCATTTTCTCAAAAACTACCCAGCCAAATCTGATACCAAGATCTATCGAAACAAATCATATTATCCCTCCTGTATATGCAGCTACGCCTTAAAAATTTACAGCCATAGAAACATCGGGTAATTTGGACCGGTATTTGGAATGTTCTCAATAACTACCCTATCAAACCTGAGATTTAGGACTAAATTGTGCATCTTTTTTCTGCAATAGCAACTACGTTTTTATTCTAAAAAAATCGACCTAGAAAACGTTTTTGGATACTTTCTAACTTGTATAAAAAATCTATTTGAGCATAATTATTGAGCATAATTATTCTTTGCAACAAGAAACCTTATACTCTGGTAAAACTAAACTTATCATAATGCTGATTCTATGCAAAAACCTAGAAAAATTGAGAGGCATTTACAATGAATTTTAAATATTATAGAAGAAAATTACCAGATGTTTTGCGAGAACACAGCAACTGATGGTGGGAGGCTACCTGAACACAGGAAACCAAATCCAAACAAAAACAAGGATAGCCGGTTATTGTGCAAGTAGCATAGAATGTTCCGACCATAGTCTTTAAAACAGTACAAAAAGTTTTTTTTTTCAATTTAGTTGTTTCTGCGTGGTGTTTTATAGGGATATGACATAAAACTATAATTTAGGTATATTCGACTCATAGTTTTATAGGCAAATAGGACAAAAACTTGTGTAGACAAATCTAGAAAAAAAAATTAAGATTCGACAGAAAAAAAATTCAAATTAAAAAAATGGTTCCCGAAATGGAGCTAAAAAGCTATTTTTAGTTGTCTAAACTAAATTTTTAGGGCCTAAAATAGGCATAATTAGGCTAATGCAAGCTTACTCGCTTGCTTTAGTCGCTCGATTTTAGACGAAAAATCAAAAATTTCAAACCTGTATTTCTCGACACTTTAATATGGCATATTACTCAACGCAGTCCAATGGTTATTTGTGGTACCGGAATTTGTGTGGAAAACAAGAAGAAAAAAAATTAAACACCCCAATACAAAGTTCCTCCCCATTTTCGATGGTCGGAACAAAAATTTAGTTGGGCCAAATTCCAGTACTTACAATTTTCTATTTTTCATTCCGACCATGAACGACGCAAAATCAATTTATAGAAGCTACAACTTCTGAAAAAAAGGCAAACAAATGAAAACGAAAAAACATAGCCAACATATTTGAAAAAGAGCCAATGGACGGTAGGAAACAGGAAAAAAACTGTCGAATGTCAAAGTAAAAAAAATACGGCTCTGAAGCTCTTTGTATTTCAAGCACAATTTAAGATTTACAGTTGTTTGGATAAATTTGACGCAATTTGAGAAAATTGGATCAATAGTTAAACTTTTCATTTCGCTGGGAAATCTGGATATTAAAATCCGCTTCCGAAACTTTTCGTGACCTTTACACTTGTTCGATAGTGGAGTTATCTTCCTTTTAACAAGGGAAATGAACTGAACTTGATAAGAAATCAAAGGTCAAACCGTGAAAAAGTAAACTTCAGCCTGAACAAATTTTAAGACTGTTCCTGAAAAAAACGTCCCTAGCTTTATAAGAGTCTTGGCTACGTTCATCGACTCTTAATAGACCAAAAAAACTCGAATCCTAATAGACCAAAAAAAAACTATAAGTCTGAAATACCATGTTAGGCTGGACTTCAAACAAAACAGCCATCAGGTATATGGAAAAATATCAATGAATAAAAAAACTATACGAACTGATTGCTTTTTGAAGAACTTTCAAAGAAAAGAATATATGGCATAAAAATCAGAACCCTTCAAATTTTTGTAATCGACAATTCTTTTTATCAGTCTAAGCAAACTAGAATCAATCTTCATTTAACACAGATGCAAAGCAGAAACGAAGCAAGAAAACTGCACAAAAAGCGCTAAAAAGCCAAAAGATAAAGTGAAAATTAAGCACAGAAAAAATTTGTTTGTAAATTTACCGAGTATTTAAAATGCAAACATTCTCAAAATATGTGTGTTGGGAGTCGGTTATTTCTGGGGTCGTAGGCTTCAGTAGTTGAGTCCTGTGGACAAAGTTTTAAAGGGGACAAGTCTAGTACCCGGTTGCAATACACTTGCTCTCTTTTGTGTATAAAATTTCTCAGCCCTAAGTTTAAGTTTCATGCTGGTCGACCCTTAACTTGAGCTGATAAGTAAAAATAATTCAAGAAAACCAAACAAACTAGCGCTCAGATAATAAAAAAATTCGCGACAAACAGACACATTGAGTTTAGGAAACATATTTCGAAATCGCCGCATAAGTCGTTTTATCTCTACAAATAGCTGTAAATCTAACTTGTACATAAAAACTTTGATGTAGTTCCAGAATAACTAACAAAATTTGTTTATATTTTGAGTTTCAAACAAATTCCGATGAAACAATCACTCCACGTCAGTTTACTATTTTTTTCTAGTTATGAATTGCAGCTTCAATGAGTCAGACTAAACAAGTGATGGAAAAGCTACACCAACCATGAGAAATGAAAGTTAATGCAACTCTTATTTTGGTTGGGACACTCAAGCGTTTCAATTAGTATAAATTATGTTTGATGCTTGAGTCGACCATGGTTAGAGTCGGACGCATGTTTTGTTATCAGAGATTATTAGAAAGCTTAAAACTTTACATACGTGGGGAGTCTAAAATGAAACATGAATGATGTCATTTGAGTATAATGGTGGCTTAGCTTTCTCTTTGAACACATAACTTAATTCAATTTGCCGTTTCAGTTCGCTGAACAACAAATGGTATTTCAAGTTTAATTTGAATTAAACATCCCAAAAGAGGTACCGAAAAAGGAAAGATTTCTGTAAACCACGTCCTCCGGTCAGCTTTGGACCACTTCAAAAATTATAGCTTACATAACCAACTTAAATGCAAAATCGTGGTTTTGAAACGAGCAATTATCAAAAATGTCAGATGTGAATCTTTTTAGAGCTGAATTGGTAGAACTTATTATCTAAACAAAGCAAATACTCAATCAATGGCAATTTTTTGAACAAGCTTTTTGAATATTTTCAATTTGAAGAATTCATATGAATTATTTGAATAGGCCACAAAAGATTTCAGTGTTAACACGCATTTTTCTCATACTCGGTTGACTTCAAACGGAAAATGATGAAGACAAAACTTCCCTAGATCACTTTGGGCTTTTTTTACTCAATAAAAAATTACGCTTAAACATCTGGTTCAATTGCTGATAAAATTAGTTCAATATTCAAGATCCCATGTGGCCAACACAGTTAAGAACGGGTATAATCTCCAAAAAAATTGCGCAATTTGTTTCAACATTAAAAACTGGTTTTTTTATATCGTAAAAATGACTTTTTGGCAATCAAACGAAAATAAACTTATTTACAAAACCTGAAAAATTGGAACTATTCGTAAACTTTGTTGTGGTACATGGAAACTTACTTTGAATTTCCTCAGCAATTGAACGATTAAATTTGGCGTAATTTTTGATTAACTAAAAACCCCAAAAAATATCGTTTTTTGGGAAATATGTTAGGCCTGATTTTCGCTAAAATGCACCATAATACTAAATACTCTAAAACTCTAAAGAAAATTGTCCTCAACATTTTTATGCTCAAGTCAACCCAATTTGAGAAAAATGTCTTTTAAATTTCAAGTTTTATTCGTTGTGTTCGGATAATTTAAATCATTGCTGTATATTCAAAAAATATCACAAATATTCTATAAAGTTTTAAAACATGTACCTGGTCACTATCTTTTGGGTCCAGGCTCAGCGTTTTGATGTTTTCCAGTTTCTCCACATAACAGGCGTTGGTTCCAGTTCCGTAGATGACACCAATCTGAGCTTCGTCATCTTCATAAGCTCCAGTGCACAGACAGCCGACGGTGTCATTAACAATGGCCTCTACTCGCACGTGGTTTCCTAGAAACAATCGAAAATAATGACCATTGTGGTGTGGCAGAGAAGTTGCACACAGAAGCGAAGCAGAGCTTCGCACCACTTGCGATAAAGCACATCAAAAAATTAAATATATCACCTCAAATTTCTTTAAATTTTAAGCAAAAGTATATGATTGAGACTTCTTTTAAAAAAACTAACCCAATTTGAGAAAATTGGTTTAATAAATTTTTGCGCTGGGAAATCCTTAAAATAAAATCCACTCTTGAAACTTGAAAACATTCACGTTTTTCGCGCCATTTGCACGCACTTTTGTTATTGTGCAGCGTCATTTGCTTTCATTTAAGCGAATGAATTTGAATTTGAAAATCAAATTTGAGCGTGAACAACTATTAAAACTTTTTAGAAAAACGAAAAAAACTCACGACTGAAACTAAAATTCTTTACATCGCTCATTGACACTTAAAATCCCTTTTTTCATGTCCAGAAATCGAAAAAAAAAAACCAGGTTGTGCTTATGTGGCAATAAATCATGTTTCAGTTTTAACTTGATATCAATCAGCAGTTTAAATTGATGTGGTATAAACATTCGGTACCATATGGCATCATTTGTGATCCAAGATAAACTCGAAAAATTAGCAAATTGACGAAACACCTGGTATTGACGGAAGCATCGCTTTCGGGTAAAATCTAAAAGAAAAAAACATTTGAAGCAAAGGTTGCTATTGAACATATGCTTGCAATTCGAGCTAATTAACTTACACTGATACTCAATAAGGACTGAACATACATACTATTTAGGTATTAATTGTTCATAATTGGTTTTCGTTTTTTTTTTGTATTTTTTTACATGACAGCAATGATAAAGCTGAAATTACCTCTCAATTCGATGGCTTCGTTCAACTTCTGCACAACATCTTGTCCAATGACTTCTGGGATATTGAATCCTTTGGTCCAGTTCAATAATGTAGCGCTGGCAAGGCCATTCAGTTGACAGGGGAAGGAAAACGTGAAACCTTAAAAAACAACGACTTATTGTCAGAGAACAAAAATTTTGATATTTCTTCCAATCAATTTACATCTATTTAATTTCAAAAAAAAAAAACACATAATGAAGAGACCTCCTTTATTATATACGACGCACAACTTCGGTGTTATGTTCCATTTAAAAAAATTAAAGGTATATATTACACACCCAGGGGCAACTCGTAATCCTGAAGAGAGTTTTCGCTGACAACAATGGCAATACACTCTGCCATGTAGTCGAACAGCTGGAATCCTGTGCCTTTCATCACTTTCTCAGGAATATCGAACCACTTGCTGGTCACTTCATCTTTGGTAGTTCCTTCGTGAAACGTTACAATTAGAACTCTGAATCTCGTGCCTCCCAAATCCAAAGCCACATATCGGCCTTGCTCTGAGCCATTCGGTAGCGCCCTGACATACGTGGGAAGCATTCTCAAGTCTGATGGTTGACCTGTAAAAAGAAGGTCAGAAAAAAAAACGAAAATTACATTAAATATAAAGACGAAATATTGCAACAAAAAATTCTTGACTTGTAAAACTTAATAACTTAAACTTAAAACAGATGCGAAGGGCAGCAAGAAAAAGTTGGCTTATCTTTTCGAATGAAAACCACTAAATTGAAAAAAAATCTTTGTCTCGATTATGTTCTATTTGCGGATCCAGGGTTGGGAATGTTTTAAAACATGTTTTAAAACAAGGCAAAAAAAAACACGTTTTAAAACAGAAAATAAAAAACAGTGTTTTTTGTTTTAAAACTTTTATCGTGAAAGCTAGCATAGGCAGGGAGTCGAACCCCTGCGCCATCCCTTCCTATCCCAATTGCTGTCGCCTGTCCTTCCCAATTGCTCTACATTTCTTAATAAGATGCGGTTGTTTGCTTGAATAATATGACGTATACGTATGTTTGGGCGGTCGCGGCATTATTTGGAAGAATCATTGGAAAATATATTGAAATCCGAAACTTCATTCCGGTCAAATGGTTCGTAGCAATTTCAGTGATTTGTAAATTAAGTTATAGAACCGTACCAATAGCGCTTATATTCCGAGACCTCTGAGATTTGTCCCAATAAACATGAGTTACACCGTAATAAAGGGTCACTTTTAATTTATAAACGTTAAAAGCTGACTTGATATTACCTACAACAACTACACCTAGACTACAACTGACGTGTGATATTTTGAAACTTTAACTATTGATACTTTTCATGTTTTCATACTTGTATTATTGTCTTTTCAGAAGACTTGAATTTACACTTCTTCTGTTTCTTCTATACGTATGTTGCTCAGTATTTCTGAGGCAAAGTCTAAACTATATCGATAATTTGAAGAGCTTTTACACATGAAAAACGAATTTCCACAATAAAATAGAGTTGTTTAAACGCAGGCTTTAACTCAATTACATTCATTCACTCACTAACTAACTACTTACTTCTGTTACACTGTTTTAACGTGCGTTTATCTTTCAGATCAACATATGAACATATAGGTCGAACAAAAGATGCAATATGGAAGAAGTTCGAGCTTATTCAAACACCAGGTTCAACTCAATGCAGTACGCTTGTACACAGAATTAGAGATCATTGGGAAAAATGCAAAGGTAGAAAACGGCACGGCGAAAAAGATAAAGATACTATTTCGATTCCACCAAACCAAAGGAGTTTGTCATTTCGGTACAAACTACTTTATCTTCCGTTCAAAAGCAACCGGAAATTCAAATCACCCGAGCTATTATAGCTCTGAACGCACCCTTCCGAGCAGTTGAAAATGAAGAGTTTAAGAAGGAACTCTGCAACAAAAACTTTGAACAATCTTCAGAGTGAATCAATTGTTTTGGGAGACTGCTTCGAATGTTGGCTCGATCTCTGCAATGCTGCACCGCATCATCTGAAACATTTTGTAGCAGAAAGAAGAGATGATTATCTGACATGGGAGAGGTCACTAAGTACATGACACAAGAAGAACCGTACAATGAAAGTTATTTTCAAGATTTCAAAAGTGTAAAACCGTTATCATGGTGGAAAATGGGAAAGAGGCTAGGTTTCGAAAAAGCGTTGGTTGATGTTGCACTGACTCTCGTTTCTGGGGTTCCTAACTCAGCTGAATTGGAAAGATGTTTCTCAACGACAGGAATGACGTATGGAAAGTTAAAAACCAAATGGAGGCTGAAAAATATGGCGCGAACTGCACAAACCTGTATAAATGTTTTTTATAAAGAATACGCTGTTTAATTGATTTTTTCAATAAAAAACGTTTTTTTCCCAACCCTGTGCGGAACACACGTCCAGCAACACCACGAAGTAATGAATAACATGTATCGATAAAATTCTGAAATTCTAAATTTCTGGAATCACACAGAATGATTCTTTTAGGACGCAAAATTTGATCACTAAGCTGAAATCAAAACAAAACAATGAAAACATTGAAACCAAGCAACAACAACAACAAAAAAGAAAAGGTACTCAGAGTTGATATTTTAACAAATTCTAGAAATGAACCAAAAGGCTTTCAAGTACAAAAAAACTGTTTACGGCACAAGAGAAATTGACCATATGGCAAATTAGCCGAAGAAACATCAACAGACAAACGATATGCCGATAGTTTTTTTAAATCGAATATTTGCATTTAAAATAACATTTCTTGGCCGGATTCGAACATAGGCCCTTAGCCTTACCAGGCGTGGTCGTCACCTTTAAAACCAAGGAAACTTGAATTTATGATCAATCAAGCTATCAAATGATTTAAGTGACTTTGTTGAACTATTTAACCTGAAAAATATATATATTCCGATTTGATAACTTTCATTAATCGGAAGCGTAATACAGGCTTGAACTTCAAAAAACTAACTGATGAAAAATGTAGCAGAAAAGATAAATAAAGCTGGGAGCAACTTACATCTTAGATGATACTGCTACTGACAACCAAATAAAAATAAATTCAAATCTAAAAAACCAAAAATCGTTCTGTAAATTCTAATTAAAGCAAAACATCAACACAAGCAAAAAAAACATCACAAAGTAGCTGTAAAAAATCAAAACGTAAAGGCAAGAAAAACAATCTAATAGTGAGTTTTGAAAAATAAAAGCCCACTACGTGAATCCAACCTCAATCCTCGGACGTCCAAGTAAAGAACTTGACTGCTCTACTTAATTGTGCTACTGACTCTTACAGTTACGATATATTAGCCACCGAGAGAAGGACAGCACATTCTATTGAACTGCCAATAATACTAAAAAAACAGGCAGCCAAAATGAGCACTTTTTAAGCGAGGTGGTTTAGAATGAAATGATTTTTGCTACATAACACAACCAACTCTTGCGAGCTCGCGTCGGTAAATATCCGTAATTTCCTGGCTAATAACTAAAAATTTCTTCGGAAACAATGTGATGCACAAAGAAACAGAAAAAACTGTGAGAAAAAAACTTTGAATTTCAAACTGAAAATACGCCATTGAAGCTCTTTGAATGCCCAAAAAAATCTTATAATAGGCACTTTTATTAAAAAAATTACCTCAATTTCAAAAAAAAAACTGGCGGACTAGGTAAAATTTATATTCAGCTAAGAATTCTGGATATTAAAACCCACTTCCAAAACTAGAAGATGATCAACAAAAACGAACTGAACTTGAAAAGAAATCAAAAGTCACACTGCAAAAAATCGATCACGAGCGTGATCAAATTTCTTGACTTCACCTATGAACCTTTACTGCAACCACGAAATCTTAAACCAATTCATCTGCAAGCAGTAAAACAATGAAGTAAACAAAGAAAACTTCATAAACAACTAATTGTATAAAAACCATTATAATTGCGTATGCGATTCATTAGACTTTGCATTGAAAAAACTCTAAAATTAACCACATAAAATGCACGAAGCCACCGAAAAAATCCAAGTAATGAAATTGACCACACCATTATTTCATTTTTAAAATATACCTGAGAGTTGAAACCAAAATATCATGAGGCAAAAATTCGTAAGAGGCTACAATTTGTAATAAACGACGATTCGTAAGACTTCATTGTTAACATGGGGGGCAAAAATAGCATTTTAATTGTCAATTACAAGTAATGTGGGGATTGAAATTTTGTTTTTCACTTGTGAATTACATCAGAAAACTCAGGTGGGGGACTAAAACTTAAGCTTAGTTCAATCTTGGGTTATCAACGTTTTGAACTAACTTCAATTTGGTTATCATAAAAGTAACTCGAAATTATTACCAATACAAGCATGGAATTTCTTACATTATTTGTGACAATTGTTCCTCAAATAATTTTGAAATTCAATCGTTTAGCTATCAGTTTGATCCATAGAAACTCGTTTATCAATGCCTCTAGAATACAACATCAGCGAGCGCGGCAAGCCGCACACTGACCAGGAAACATGGCGACGTTGTAAACGTGCCTGCAAATTGTCCATTATAACTTTCGATTGCTCAACTGTTAGTAAAAAGAAAAAAACATGGCCACGAAAACATCGTACTTGAGCCCAAAATCAACTCGTAAGTTTTTTTTTAATTTCGCACGTACATGTACCCGAATGAAAAAAAAAATGGGTTCAATATTGTATTAAATAAAGCAAAAAAAAACAAAATAAACTGAGGGTGAGCGTTTCTGTGAGGACTAGTGGGATTATTGAGCCAAACTAAAGTTACGGTTAAGCAAACCGCATTTTTCTAAGCATGCCGGTTATTTCTCGAAGGAAACCCGAGTTTAAACCAAGTGTTCAAAACTGTTTTTTTTAAAATCACACAGGTTATCAACGTGAAAGCCAAGGCCACTTTGGAATCCCGAGAGGAATTTATGCAGAGTTTATTGGGCACTTCTCAAAGTAGACCTTAGCAAATTTGCCAAAACGTAAATCAATAGTCCGAACGATTCAGCGACAAAGATTCATCGAATCAGAGCTAGCCACCCTAAAAAACATGGCGAAACCTCTTCAGCTGACTCTCTCGGTTATGGGGGATAATTTTCTTAGTGTAAGACTAACGGCCTGGTGATACTGAACGCATGCTTATTTCCTCTACGGTAGAAAATTCAGATGTGTTGGAGAGCAACACAGCTTGACATGCTGATGCAATTGTTGAATTATGCTCCACGCTTACTTATCAAGTATTTACCATACACGCCATAGTAAAAGAACAGGCAGTTCCAATGGTTTTTCTCTTTCAACACGAAAACCTGAGAAGCAAAATCTGCTAGCTTTTGAAAGGCTGAAACAGTTAAACTCTGCCTGGAGCTTAATCCACAGCGACGATCAATGCCTTTCATTCAGTCTTTCCATGTGCGATTTATAAAGGCTGCTATTTCTACTTCTAATTAGAGAAAAATTCAGGAGCTAGGCATAGCTCTCCTTTTATAGATCTGAGGAAAAACCGCGACTTGTCATGAAATCATTCATTTTCGCTGGAACTTATCTCCCAAAATGATCTGGAGCTGGGGCTCAATTACCTGAACGATCAATTGGGTGAAAACAATCATTCCACGTGTGAAAAGATATGAATCACAAAACACCAATGAACATACTTCCCCCAGACCTCTGGAATCAGTTTGCGCGCAAGATCAGAAAACAGAAGAATAATTTGGTGGAAGATTAGCATCGTGCTTTCCAGATGGGAATGGGCTGTTCACATCCAACTATCCACAAAATTATTGAATTCAATCGGCGAGAACAAAGCTTAGCTGAGACTAGGCTCGTGGCAATTAGATCCGGAGAGAAGGCATCAAAGACAGCGAAAAACATAAAACCGCAGTTGAGATTGTCTGAAATAGTATCAGAACAACAGAAATAGCAATATACTACAGAGACTAGCTTTTTACTTTGATTTATGATCTCTTTTTAAGTTAATCAAGCTTTCGATTGTTTCTTTTAATTGATCAACTTCCAACAAAACATTGAAATGATTTGTTGCTTGATACGAATCGTCACTTGTTACGAATGGTCGCTTTTTAGAAAATTACGAATTGTCGCCTGTTCCGAATTGTCACTCAGCCTGACAATACATCCGGTTTCAGGAGGCTAGGAATATACAACCAAGATCAATGCCGACCACGTCAAATTGTCATTAAGTAATCATAAACTTATAACTGTTAATAAATTGTTAGAACGGGCATCCATGCTTTAAGTTAACTACTCTGAATATGATGGCGAGCCGTATTGAGCTTTCATTTCAAATTCTTTGATTAACGAAGAATGAAAGAACAGCAAAATTCGGTAACATCCTTGCTTAAAATACCTGAAAATTTCGAAAAACTATTTAACTTTTCTGTGTTTGGACCAAGATGGACAACTTCAAATCAACCGCCTGTTTTATGAACACGAGGAAACAATTTTGAAACACTCACAGCTCGTTCTTTCGCAAACTTTCGTTCAACACATCGTTAGACCCGTTGCAGAAAAAAAAAGTTAACTAGAACAGCTTCATAAGATTGCACTAAAAATTTTGATTCAGCAACAACAGATTTCACGACAGTCAACACTTTGAAGCAAAACTCGGCACAGTTGCAAAGCCGAGCTTTGCAACACTTGCGATACCAGAAACTTATCAAAACCCACTACAATATTTCTACAATTTGTCTGCAACCACGGTCAAACTGAGAAAACCATGTCCAGAAACCCAATCGCCGACGTTTATCAGTAGTCGGAAACATTTATCGAGGGGTAACTAGGCCAATAAAATTTAGGACATTTTATCTGATACGAAAGCAAAATTGCTGTTATAAAATGAAAGTTCTGAAATTCTTTTTATTTGCGCTCCCCTCCGGAAACACACAAGGATCAAAATATATTTTTTGCTTTAAACGACGCAACACTAGGACTATATGCCGATCTTCTATCGCTTGCTAATCGCGAGCATAAGAGTCCAATCTTTTCAGTCATTTCTGAAGTATAAACACGTACCTCTTAATCCCTTATCCATTTCATCGAGCATCGCATTCTTAATTTTATGCAGCTTCTTCTCGCTGAGATCGAAATCTGACAGGAGTTCATCCAACTGTACATATGCTCGGAATTCACCCATAATTATGATGTATATTGTATAAATGTCAAATTACAGCTCGTAGATGTCAACGGAGAACTTATCTGCTCAGCAGAGATCTGAAATTAAAACAGTAAAGTAAAGCGGCATCATTCGAGTAAAACAAAACAACGTTAACATTAACTGAAAAATTAGAAACTGCTATGATAGCGTGGTCCCTCGAAAAAGCAACTATTATAGACAGGTCCCACATGCATTTCGCATGTGATAATTTTGAAAAATAATTTGTGTATAAATTATTCAATTCAAAAATCTTTCACAATATGTTCAGTCAGAAACTTTTTAGATTGAAAATCGTAATTAATTCATCGTTTATATCAAGAAATTTGATCGCTTTCTGTTTAGTTTACAGTTCAACAAACAAAATTGTGTTGCTTCATTTGTCATCAAAACTCAATTTTGGCGTTTTTAAATTTTCCGCCTTCAAATGGTGAGGGGGAAACTTCTAAGTTAAAAAAACATAAAAATTTATCTCTGCAGTTGTTCGCTGAGCACTCTTCTAACGTTATCAAAGCTTGAGCTATAAAAACAATATGATATCTATTACCATGTAAATATGTGTTTGCCCTGCAAACGACGCAATAAGAGGAAACTAATCCGATATAGATAACGTTTATATTGTAAATTGTAACATTCGCCCGGAAGTACATATCGACGGAAAATAAAGCTAGGTTCTAAAACGACTGGCTAGCGTCTAAACACAGCTCTACATGCTTTTCACCGTCTCTACCAAGCCAGTTCTTTTGGTGGTCTTTTCAACATCGGGTCGACATGTAACATTCGTCTACTGCAGTCACACATGAGGCTTAAGAAAAATAGGCCCTATAACTATTGGCTCAAGAGTCAGGGACACTATCTCTTGTGTTTTTCCACCTCAAATCAGTCGGAGCCAATTCGGTTCGCTTGTGACACGAGACCACGACCCGTTACAGCTTAAAGGCTACTACTAAAATATCCCCCCCACTCTAGAATTAATAACATCCCCATACTCAGGTCTCTAGATACCCAAAATACATGAACGCCGTTAAAAACCGGGTCGGAACAATCCGTTAAGTTACTTTTTATTAGACAGTGGAACTTTGATCCATTTCAGATGGATCAACCTAAAACTCGCCTTACCTCAACATAACAATTATAAAACACACTCTAGAAATTTAAATTAGTACTCACATTGTAGCACGCTCAAGAATCAGGAAGTAAATAAGTCGGTGTGCAACTCAAGAATCAATAAAGTAACTAAAATAAGTTTAATGTTTGTCAGTTTCAACAACAAGAACAAGTTTGTACTCTAGAATTTCAGTTTTCGTGAACCATTGGGACACTCTAGCTGTCCACCTTTCCACCGAAGGTTCACTCTAGTCCAGTTTAGAATAATACTCCAATCACAACAATCCAGTTCGTGGGAATGCGCTCGTCTCTGTTTTAGATGGGACAGCTCTACTCTAGATTATTATCGCTACTGAAATTGCGAATAGCAATTTCCCACTGATTTTCTAGCAACTTTCCCGCGATTGTCACTCGATTGTTCTGACTTCTCTTTTTCTGATTTTCAGTTATCGCGAGAAAATCGTGCATGACAGGTTCCATTCGAAATTTTGAAATATTAAATTTCACTCCAAAAATAAGTGTTTTTTGCTTCTCTCAAGGTCAAACTTCCAAATATGACCGACTGGCACATACTCCCCGGACTCGAGATCGATGTCCTCATCGCGTGCTGTCTTCTGCCAGTGAGTCCCAGAAAACCGAGTGTTACTCAAGATACAGTGCCAGTGGTCATTTACAGAAGTTTGCAGCAGACTTAAGCTTATCTACACCCCAAAATTCACAGCCATAGAAAATTTTCACACTATCGCTAAACAGCAATCAAAATCTGCACACACCTGCACCCTTGAATTCTCGCTTTCCAAGCCAATCATTTAAAATTTCTTTTGTCCTATTCAATCAGGAAATTGTCATGCAGCATTTTGATTTATATAGTAAATATAGTATATTAATAACAATATTTGCTTTGTTAAAACTACTTTTTCGTGAATCCAAGTTTCACCCGGATCCACGCTCAAGCCCCCTTTCCCTCTCAAGACTCAAGATCCATTCAAGCCACCTACTCATCTCGCACTCTTCGCCTTGGAGGTACTGCACCCTGAAGTACTAGATACGGCAAACTGTCTCAACAGTTCCTCTTCATCATCGGAGCTAATCACAATCTCCTCCCAAGCCTTCAGCTGTTCGTAGGATCGCATCCTTTCTCTTTGCTCTTGCAACCTCTTTGCCTGGTTGGGTAGTGCCTTCACCCTAGATTCCCGGTTCAAACAAAAGGAGTTGTGCAGGCTCAAGCTCACGTTCTTCGCCAGGTCCTACTCTATTCCCTCGCCTTGGTATTGTCTCTAGACATTTTACCCACTCTCTTCCATCCTGTCGTGATTGCATTACGATGGGTTAACAGGGGTCTCTTGAAAGCCTCCGGCCCAATCTCGGCCTGGAACTGTCGATACTCCTTTTGATGTTTTCTCATGTGATCTTTCGTTGTCATGTACAACCAAGACGTCAGCGTCGCCCGAAACCATGGGAAGTACCTCAAACGGCTCCAGACATGTCTGACTTCCGTTGGTACGGCGAATACCTTGCACGCAGTCTCAAACAACTCGAGTCTCCTACTGTAGTCTATCGCGTATATTGACTCAGCCGTTGGCGTCCCCGCTTCCCGATACTTCGTTATATTCTCTTCTATCCATCTCAGAGCCAACATCGTACTCACTACCAAGAGCGTCACCTTTTGTCGGTGATCCGGTAGTCCGATTGACCGGATTTCTTCCATATCCCACACCAGGCAAAGGTTCTTGTGATCTGGATACCACACCGTTTGCGCCAAACAGTGGCATGGGCATTCTCCATGGGTGATCTCAATGCTCCTGAGGTTACGCTCCCCCGAGGCTTCCAAGAAAGGCTCAAGCTCCATCATTTTCTCATGCATCGTGTCGTTATCTTCCAGGTTTGGAGCACTTCCCACAGGTTTTCCGATCACGTTTTGTCTCTCGTGATCGCTTGTGTTCTCTCTCTCCAACTTCAAAAGTTCTTCTCCCCAGATTTCACTCAAGTCATCTCTCAATTCTTTTGGTACTGTCCCTCTGATTTTTCTCAACAACTTGTGCGAGTGATGCGATATCCTAGCCAACCTCACGCACTTGGGCACTGAGAAGGCCTTGTCCACCAATACTCTCTGGCTGGATGCTTCCACCATCGCCATGTGCAGTGGGTAGTGACTTCCGCACAAGTTGGCCATCATTGACCCTATCAGGGATTTTGCGTTCAATGGCAGGCCATAAGCTTCGCTCATGGGAAACCCCATTTCTGCATCAAGAACAATTTTCCAGCTCCGGATGTGTTTTTGAGTCACCTGCAACACCCCAGGCCATGATTCTACGCTCAACGCCGTCACCCAATGGTGTTCAGACTCTAGTCTTTCCAATGACTGCAAACTACACATTCTCGAGAAGAATCCGAGAGCCGTCGCTATATTCACCGTGGTTCTCGCGTAACACTCCGCTACTATTTGCACTTCACTTCTCTCCCTTTCTGTGATGTCTTCGAACCAAGTGACCAGGTCTTCTTTTTGAAAGGACAGTATTCTGACGCATGACCGTCCATCGCAGGTGTGCTCTCCGTTTCCACACGTCGAATCCAGACAGCTACCCGGCTCCAACTTCTTCGCTGACCCGGGATTGTTCGTCTTTTCGCTTGGCTCTTGCATCTGAGGTGAGATTAGCTTATGCAGCACACTCAACTTTGCCAGATCTTCATCTTCCGTTGGTGCTAACCTCACTCGCTCGGTGGTTTCCTCGATCAGACTCGCGTGGGGATGTGGACACCAGGAGGGTCTTAGTAGCTTCCATACCACTCCCAAGTTCGTGGTTAACAAGCCATTTCCATCGCCCATGTTCACTTCAACTCTCTTGTTTGAGCGCGGTATGCTTACCACCTCTGGTGTTTTCTCAAGAATCAGGCCCAAGCTCGGCCCCTCTTTTTCCACCGCGTCTATTTCCATTATTCTTTCTGTCCAAAACTTCAGTAGCTCCGCTACCTCATGGTTTCTGTGGGCGCCTCCAGTTTCCGAGTCTAAGAAGGGGTTGTAGGCTATTCCCATCACTCCTGACACGTATTGGTATTCCCCCTTCTCGCTGGGTCTCGAGTACTGCTCTGACGAGGCCAGGTTACGGTGAACATCATGCTCTTCTTCGAACTTCTTATTATAAAATCTCCGTACCTCGTCCAGCTTTCTGTGGTTCTCTAGGGACAGTCTGGAACCATCTTCTTTTTCTATACCAGTACTCTGATACACGTTTAAGATGATCGTTGAGACTCTTTTTTCCACGGTTTTACTTCCGCTTGCTCTCTGGTGGCATGCCAAGATGGTGCTATCAGACATCATCGACATTATCCATCTCAAGAAACACGTGGCATCCTTTCTTCTAGCCAGGCTCAAGCCTGAATTGTCCCTGGCTACGTGTTGCATCAGTGCCTGATACACATCTAGCTTCTTGCTTCCCAACTTCAGCCTGTCATACGAGGTCAGTGTTTCCAACTCTATCCCCACCAGACTCCAGGTGAACATTAATTGTCCTGCAGTTCTAACGAAGGGATTCGCCATTAATGGTGGTGCTGATGAGGGTGTCCTCATTGCTTCTTCAAAATGATCCTTCAACAAACTCTGCCAGGACCTCTTCAGATGATTCGCCATTTCTATTTTATTAACCTCGGCCTTTTACTGGGTGGCCCAATTGCGTCGCTTGCGAGCTACTCCACTGTCCAACTTCTTCCAGCAGTCCTCCATTTCTTTCAATGTTTCAAGGGCCACCCACCACGTCCGGGAAGTGTTCCTCGTCTTGTTCCTCTCCAATGGGTCACTCGTCACTTGCTTGCCCATGTCCTGATGTGCCCTCGAGATCCATTCTTTGCCGATATCCACTTCCCATGTCTGTCCGTTCGTTGAACCTCTCTTTACGTTTATCTTCTGAGGCTTGAAGTCTTCCTCCGATGTCGAACTGGTGGAAGTCTCTATTTCCC